CTTCCGTTTATCTTGATGTCAGGCTTTACTACAAGCCTCTCTTTATTTCATAAACCTCAAAATGCCCTTTTGGTGCATGCTCAGCGCAGAACATGGAATTTCTCATTTCTCAAATGCTTATCGAAGACAGAGAACTCAGTCGCACAAAGTCCTGAAGCAACATGCCCCAGAAAAAACACAGTGACTTAGGCTACTCATGGCTGTGTCATAACGAATCAGAATTAAGCTGAATATGCTGTCTGTTCCTTTACAGATGCGCTGTTGCTCTCGAAAATTGGTTATGCCTGAGGTAGGTCATTTATGTACACAAACGTCAACATTAATCATCCTGGTAAGAACATTTTCTATTTATGTGCTCACATGGCTATTAGAGGATCTTCTTTGAAGGTAGCCTATAAACCAGCGTTTCTCAAAGTGTGGGGCGCGCCCCACTGGTGGGGAATGGAAACATGACAAGTGGGGCGCGACAAACGGAGAAAATGTGGTAATTTTTGTGCCCATCTCTATTAATTTCTTTATTTATTGAGCATAAACTCAAAACAAAACAACGACACATTTAAATGTAAGCCTTACTTAACCTTTTCACACGTAAGTTTAAAAGTTTTTAGAGGCGCCCGTTATTTAGATCGTATCCCTTTATGGTTTCCATGGTGGCGCGTCATTGCTTGTCACACCGCAGCCACAATAGCGCTGAATGACTGATTATCTGCTTTTATTTCACAAATTTGTTGGCTATAGCAGGAAATATCTGATATTCCGATTGTCAAATATGAGCAAGTGGATGCGTTTTGTTGTTTAAACACCTTAGTTGAGCTATAGCCTGCGATGGGCGTTTTATGCCGGATTTTAGAGAATCGGATCTGTTGGATTTAACAAACGTCAATTTATCTAACTTACTTCTCCCGAAATACATGAAAGTAAGTGGCCGGTGAACTGAGAGAAGCATAGAGTAAACTTGAAAGTTACTTACACGATGTGTATTTGATATGAATAATACGTGTCGTCTAATTATAATGGAAATAATTATTATTGCCGCTTCCATAGACATAAATGTGTATTTGACTAACTCTAAGTGTATTGCTTTTTTAGGACTTATGTGAATTTAAATGTCTGAAACCTAAAATAAACATTATGTGGTTGAAAACACTGAATAGTTGATGTCAAGCGGTGAGCGCTCTCCGTCTCTGGCTCAGAAAATATAGCATACAAAACAGGCTCATTGCAGACACTAAATTAGTTAATCACTTAATGTTGAACTTTCAAAGTGCACCAGATTTATGAATTTATCTTTAAAACGTAGGCTACAAACTTTTCTTCCGGGGGAGCATGCCCGCGGACCCCCCAGGGGTGCAGAGGTCCACACCCCCCCAAAATACTGTGGGAAACACAGTAGCTTATATGATAGTCTTCGAAAAATACAAAATACAATTATTATAATAAAAATACCTAAAATACGTACATTAGGATTTTACCACCTCCGCCTCGTTTTGAGCCAGGAAAAACCCTGAGATTATTATTATTCTTTTTCAATTTTGTTTGTTCTTTTTGCATGCAGTTTGCGAAGTGACAAAATAGTAAAAAAGGACAACTAGTCCACACTTTTATTTTCTCCGTTTCTGAATTTGATGTTATCAGAGCCAAAATACAAACACAATTGCATTATTATTTTTATCTACTGTCATGTTCATGTTTTTAAAATGTCATGTTAATAAAATACATTTTAACTTAAAGCCTAGTTTATTAACATTTTGTTGGGGCGATTGCATGAGGACAGGTGGGGCACGAACCCTTCCCTACCTTCAAAGTGGGGAATGGCAGAAAAAGTTTGAGAAACACTGCTATAAACTGTCCATGTAATGTACAAATCTCAAGTCCCCTGAAAGTTTGTCAACATCATATGTAGGATTGTCCACAACCACTGTATGGTCATTGTGGGGAGCAGGACGAGGTCGAGCGCCGAGGGAGGAAGGCGCGTGATTACTGATGAGCGACTCTGCGCAACGCACCAGTCTCGGAAGCATAAAAGGAGGAGCGACGACAGTGAAGATCGAGAGAGGCCAGGCCTAGATTTATGTTGGGTTTTGTTATATGTGACAGCAGTCGTCCGTGAGGGGCTGCTGTCTTTACTTTCTTTTGCATTTGTTTATTTTATTATTAAAGTCTTTAAATGTTCGCAGGTTCCCGCCTCCTTCTTCCCATAACAACGAACTGTGTTACAGTCATAAATCAATCTTCTCTGAAAGCCAATGGAAGACGTTCATGTCTTGTTCTTAATAAGCATACTGTTACTTACAGACATTTCGATAGGGGTTCGATTTACAACAAAGGCTCTGTCTCAGAATTAACTCACGGTACACTTTAATGATTTATTGATGACTACGGTCCAGTATCCCCTTTCTCACACTTTCTTTAAAATGAGTGAGGATTCCTTGTATCTGAGGACTGACAAAGTTCAGAATGTAATTAAACTCAATACAAACGAATACCTCTACTTGGGAAACGGTAACTCAGAGAGGTCACATTTCCAACACACGTCAACCTTTATCAATGGAATGCCAGTGAGACGCACTGCACTTTAAGTTAATTACTTAGGACGTGGGTTTGTCCTTCATTGTTCAATCTGACAGTCATCAGATCATCATATCTTTGTAAATTTGCCATTAAGCCAAGCTGTCTGTTCTTATCTATCTGCTCCCATCTGCTTCACAATAAGGTGTAGTAGATAGCGTGACATGATCTAAAGGTTGAGGTATTTTTTTTTATATTACAAGTGTAAACTGAAATGAAAGCCCAAGCCTGTGTTTGTTTAAGTATTTAAGCGTGTCACATATGTGACTTAAGTTTGAAAGCTGATGCAGGCAGTTACCATTGCATGACCAATTTGCTAGTTATGTGTCACATGATTACAGAGATCAAATGCAACGTTGTTTCAGAATTATATAACCAAACCCAGGGAGATTGGGGGGAAAAATTATAATAGCCTCTACCTCCACTAGTGTTTACTGTAAATATTAATGTCAATGTCATGAAAAAAATGTTGGAATATTCTCCTCTGTAATGTGTCCTCTAGAGTAGGCCTAACCAATACCATGAGTAAAGTGTAATGAGATCCAGTGTTAATGTGTTCTGATAGGAGGGTAAGGGTATATGTCAATAAATGTTAAGATCTTCAGTCTTGATGAATGAGCGAATGCAAAATTGTATTGGATTCTTCTTCATTAAATTGTCTCCCAGACTCCCAACTCATTAATCTGTTCCATTTCAGATAAGATGATTTTTTTCTTCTTTCAAGTGTGCTGCTCTTCAATATCTGGATCAAAAACAAACCCCAAAGTTCTCTGTGCATCATTCAAGTTATACTGTCAAAAGTTCAATCAAATGCAATTGTTACCACTAGAACTATATACTGGAGTTTCAAAATGGCATATTGATTTCAAGGAATTTATACTTGAAAGCTGATCATAGAGGGAAAAACTTACAAAAGTAAGATGATATAAGTCAAATGGTACATTAAATTGCAGACTGTTTTGTCATAATGTAATGAATGTTTTGCAAAAAATGCTGTTTTTGAAGAATGAGGGAATTATATTGAGCCTGATATCCAAAACCCATTAATATTGCAGTAAATTTAAAGGCCAGAGAGATTGTGAAAAAAGTTTAAATTATCATTTGTTTTAGTGCAAGACACCTTGACTAACTTTAGAAGTGGACTTCAGGGGAAAATAGTTCCAATGTATGATATAACCCGTTTAACTTCTAACACACTGACTGAAATGTGTAGCTTTGACATGTCTGAAATGGAGTGTGTATTAGAGAGATAAAACTGCAACTATTGAAAGTGGGTTATTTAAAGAAGCTGCACTGACAGGCATCCTCTAATGCAAAGCTAATGCATGGTGCTGAGCTACAGTCCAAAGAGTATTTGGACCACATTACGCAATGACGAATGCATTTGGCTGTATGTGCAAATGGACAGCTGCATGGTCTAAAGGTTGTGTTTAAGGGGCAGTATTTATTGCTGCTCAGATGCTTTTTGCAGTTCTGTCTGGCAGTTGGAGAACTCCTACATTTAGATTACAGAATGTGAAGGCACACTTTTTTCTTTAGAATAATAACACCAGGAATATTAAAACTTCTCAGAATTTTTCATTGTAAGTCATGCTAAAGTGCACATGCATGATATATGACTGACTGCATTTTGCTATTTTAGGTCTTGGCGATAAAAAAAAAATCTCAATTTTGTCTCAGGAGGAAGCTGTCACACATGATATGTTTCAGCAGCTCTAGAGTTTTAAGTCAAACGCCCAATTACACAGTTACAAAAAAGGTCAACATGTGTTTAATGAACTGTATCTTTTGTTCTGAGCAATAACGGTGGAAATGCCAGACTTTGAAAAAATAAATACACTGAGAAAGATGCACAGGAGTAAAAAGTTAAATTATTATTAGTATTAGTTTTAATACTTGTATGTTGTCAAGTGCACATCAAACTGACCGAAAATATAGGCTTCTGTCTGTACGACTTTAATGCTTTAACAGTTCACCAAAAAAGAAACAGCCACGAAGCAATTGGGCTGAAGAGTCTTGCTTAAAGGCATTACTAAAAGGTAGCAGTGTTTGAACCTACAAGTTTCAGCCCAAGTCATTAACCAATACGCCACGCACTGAAACGATTAATTAAACTATGTGAATGTGTAAATAAACTATGAATTATCAAAAATAATGAATGGACGTGTGAAAGGTGAAAGAAGAAACTCAACCATGCATCTCCGACCCAAATTCCGAGCCGATTTCGTTGTCTTCCACAGCGGGGCAGCGTTACAGCGATCTACAGACAGTTTTATCACCCATCCATGTGCATTTGAGAAGAACTTAGCTTGCTGTCGGATGTCACATACCAACAATCTGATGTAGACAGAAAGCTATAAAAGTGCGGACACATCCGCGCGCAGACCATGAAGGCGTGCTGTCCATCGAGGACCAAGAGACCTTCAATTTACGCAAGTTTACGTAAACGCAATAACAGCCACTCATGGTTTTCCAATGGACTCAAATCCTATGATTTATGGCGAGGATTATTGAAGTGAAGATAAAATGAAAATAAATGGCAGCAGCCGGTTGATGAACAGTTCTTCATTGAGCCCTTACGAGATCTCGCTGAATCGCCCTCCCTGGGTCTCCACAACTTTGGGCTGCTTTCTGATCTTCACTATCGTGGTTGATATATTGGGGAACCTCTTGGTGATTTTCTCCGTGTGCAGAAACAAGAAACTTAGAAACGCAGGTAAGATCGCAAACAGCCTTTTAAACATTTATTCATTTAAACCTAGTTTTTTTTCTTTCACTATAGCCTACAGTGCCTATTTTTAATTGCTGGCAGATGATCCAATGTTAGTATCTTTTTCACTTTCACCTGTAATTCGTTCAATAGTAGCTACTATAGTGACTATTTATTTAATTCCTTAGATTCTAGTGGGTAAATCTCAGTAGTGACAAGGAACAATATGAGTTGAACTTTATGGCATTTTTGTAATTAATTTCATTATAACATTATATAGGTTCAGAATCAGATATTAACTATTCTGATATAACTGACAATGTACAGTTGTAGCCACTGTCCCAGACTTACTACTACATAGTTTTCAGCTTGACTAGTAATTAGGCTACTCATTGTATTTAATATTTATATCTATTTGATTTGTAGTTAAACTTCTTATCTCACTACAATTGCTTTATTTATTACTGAGGCAATGACTGGTCATAACTTTATTTCATTAAAATCTTACTAGCATGATTTGGGCACCAGTATTTCAGTCAATGGGGAGCTTACTGTAAATGAGGATATATTGACAGGGCATGTTTAACGGACAGTGTACACTGTATGAAGTGAGTTTTAAGAGTTCATTAATTAGGATCATGCATTCCTCATAAACTGGATTCTTACTCAGTGTGATTTCATATTTTCTGTCATTCCTGACAGGTTTTTTTTTATTTGACTGTATTGGACAGTAAGGGACTATTTTTTGAGGTTTCAGGTAACTGGCCCAATATCAAACAAAACTGAACAGGCAAGTCATTTTCCTGTGAGTGGATGGAGTGCTTATCACCGGTGTCACACCGACCCATATGTCATATTTCTCTGCCAATAGAGACAGAGACCATGTTGTTCCTCAACTGTGAAGTTTGTGGCACCAGTTTGAAAAGTACAGCAGCACTATTTTACAAGGAAAACCAGTTTTGGACAAAAAATGTAGCCTGCACTTGTGCATGCTTTAACATCAACAAAGTAACTCCAATTAACTAAATACTTAAAATATGCATTATTATGTGGAGCAGCATGTTGATGTTTTTGCTGTTAAATTAGGTAGGCTTTAGGCATGTGATTTATCAAATATTCATATCGTGACAATTGCTGAAGCTTTTATAATGGTAAATGATAAACAAACTTTAGTGTTGTCCTCTTAATAATAAGTTTAATAACTTATTTTTTTACAATAACAAGAACCTTTAAATTTAAATACAATAAAATACATAATAAAAATGTATTAACTATAAACAAATGTTTCAAACTGATTAAAGTGCTAAAGAATAAAGAATCAGACCATTCAATCAATATCCAGATATCTTTTCTGGACTGGCAAGTATTTAAATAAAATATTTAAATGGTGTTTAATAACACCTTATAAAACATTTGAAAGCCTGTTTGAAAACACATAAATACTTCCTTTTTTTTCATCTATGAAAAGCATTTTTTCATCTCTGTATTAGAAACAGAATGTTGTGCAGCTAGTTTGTGAACCGGGGCAACCACTGTATTTCTGATTTTCTATAAGAACCACCTATATTACTGCAGCTGTGTCAAAATCGGTGGCTGCATACCTCATCAAGGCAGTCTCATTTAAGAAAAGTAGGCTAACTGTTAGATTGCAATGTAAAAAAAGAAATTACACAATTTTGCACCTCACGAGGAATAACAGTCAATTTTTTTACGGTTATTTTTTCTTATGTGGCCGGCCTTGCACTTTTAATATCACTTAATCCAGATAGCACTGACTATGCCACCTTGGGAACTGCACCCAAGGAAATATGAAAGGAACACAGGTTCGATGGTGCAGTGAAAAGACAGAGAAAATACATACAATAAACAAATGAATAATTTTATTTGTTTAGAAAAAACATTCCACTGGTATCATTTAATCATGGTATAAATCACTGGCATGTTTATTATAACAATACTAAGAATATAACAATATTAAAAGTACATTCCTCCAGACACACCTGATTCAAACACTGAATCACATCAAACCAAACATCACAAAAAGGAAAATACTATACCGTTCCCACCAAAGAAAAAAAAAAAGAAAAAAAAAAGATTTAATAACAAAAAGAATAGAAACTACAAGGCTAAAGCTTACCTTAGGGGTGGCAAACTAGCTGTAAGAAATTGTGCTCTCAACCACTCAAACAAAATAGGAAGAGGTGTTCAAACCCTGGTGTTCCAAACTCACAGTAATGTGTTTCACCCAAGTGACTAGCCTCCGCCTCGGCACACTCAGCCTTGACTCGAACAAGGAGAAACAGAGAAATTAGTGGGTGCGGTACAAATACAAAATCACCACAACAATCACATCAGACACAAATATGATGGTTGACCAAATCAGTTGGTGCACGGAGTTCGGCATGGAGGACCCAAACGTACTAAAATGGTGACGGATGGACACACTACGAGATAATTACACCACACAGCCACTACGGCCCAAATCACACTGGTCAGACCAACTTCCATACAGAAATAACAAAATAACCCAAACCATAAAATAAAAACAAACAAAACACAGAAACTAATAAAGTTATGGAAAACTGAGAAACATATCCATTCACGAAAGACAAAGAGAATAACCTAATCACGAAAAACGTACTCGGTTACTAACGTAACCTCGGTTCTCTCTAGAGAGGGAACGAGTACTGCGTAATAGCTTACGCTAGGGGAAAAACTCTTTTCCACGAGATATTGAAGCCAAAAATTATCCTTAATTTTTTATTAATGTAAAACGCTTTGCAGCAGCAAGCAGACATAGGCGAAACAGCTCGCGCGCCTATTGGCTGCTCTTGCAGCAAATGCAGCAGCCTATCGAGAGAGACTCTGCGTGACGTAATGACCAATGGGGGCAATTCGCGCCCATATCGTCACGTCCCGCCAGAAAGGGCGTGGTCTCACCCTATAAATATGCTCGTTAGGCTGGTACAAGCTGGTTTTCATCGCTGAAGCGAACCAGAGCGTATTCCAAGCACGGCAAGATACGCAGTACTCGTTCCCTCTCTAGAGAGAACCGAGGTTACGTTAGTAACCGAGTACGTTCTCTTACGAGAGTATCTCTCGTACTGCGTAATAGCTTACGCTAGGGGAACACAATGCAACACGCCGTGCGTACAGGGATCCAACACCAAAGTCCCAAGGGCTGAAGCCCAGGGCTCATGTAGTGCATAATCACCATAAACTCACATAGAGTGGAGGAAGAGAGGCTGGAAGCGTCATTTCCTATAAAAAAGCACCCAGCGGGTCTATCATATGACAATAAAACGCGCAGCCAGGGTGAAAGCTTTCAGCCTGATCTGGGTGGCCATACGTGTGTCAACACTCATGGGGCTGCAGTAAACTCAGCATCTGGGCCGCACAGCGGGGCAGATAGCATTGAATTTTAGACCGCCAAAAGCTTAGCTTGTAAGGCGGGTACCTCCAGGTTATAGTATTTTATAAATGTAGACGGCGAGGCCCAGCCCGCGGCCGTACAGATATCTTGCAGGGAAACCCCGCTCGACCATGCCCACGAAGAGGCCACGCCTCTCGTGGAGTGCGCTCTGACACCCAAGGGGCACTGTAGGCCCTTTGCAGTGTAAGCGAGCGCAATGGCATCCACTATCCATCTGGATAGGCTCTGTTTTGAGGCGGCAAGTCCCTTGGAACGCCCGCCAAACAAATCGAAAAGCTGCTCCGTCTGTCTGAAAACAGACGAGCGCGACACATAAGCTCTCAATGCCCTGACGGGGCAAAGGAGACTCGCGTCCTCCTCCTCACTGAGAACCGGAAGGGCGGACAGGGAAATTACCTGGGCCCTAAACGGTGTATTGAGGGATTTCGGCACATACCCGTGCTTAGGTTCGAGAATGACCTTCGAGTCACTAGGCCCAAACTCCATACACGACGCGCTTACTGAAAGCGCCTGCAAGTCCCCTATGCGCTTCACTGAAGCGAGAGCCATGAGAAACACTGTTTTGAACGACAGGTGTTTCATGTCCACCGGCTGGATTGGCTCGAACGGGGCGCCTTTCATGGCCTCCAGGACTAGGGAAAGGACCCACGTCGGGACTGAAGGGGGCCTGGGAGGGTTCAGCCTCCGAGCTCCCCTAAGGAAACGCACGACTAAGTCGTTTTTCCCCAGCGACTGGCCAGACACCGGTTTTGCAAACGTTGCTATGGCCGCCACATATACTTTGAGCGTGGATGGGGTCCTGCCCTTATCCAGTAGCTCTTGAAGGAAGGAAAGCACTTCCGAAACCCCGCATTCCACAGGTGAAAAGCTCTGGGCTTGACACCATGCAGAGAAAACAGACCATTTCGAGGAGTAGAGCCGCCTGGTAGACGGAGCTCTAGCCTGCGCGATCGTGTTTAACACTCCTTCTGGGAGGCTAGCGGGTACCCGTTGATGGCCCATGCGTGCAGGGACCACAACTCCGGGCGAGGGTGCCAAATCGAGCCCTCCGCCTGAGAGAGGAGGTCTCTCCTCAATGGTACAGGCCATGGGGCAGTGCTGGTCAGCTGCATCAGGGCAGGGAACCACGTCTGGTTTGTCCAGAGCGGAGCTACGAGCAGCACTGGGCATCCGTTCTCCCTGATTCGTTCCAACACCTGAGGCAGGAGCGAGACAGGAGGAAAAGCATATAGGGGGCAGCGGGGCCAAACATGAGCCAGCGCGTCCTTGCTTTTCGAGAAAAACTCCGGGCAATGAGCGTTTTCGTGGGACGCGAATAGGTCCACCTGTGCTCTGCCGAACGTTTTCCACAGCAGCTGGACCGTCTGCGCGTGCAGCGACCATTCCCCTGCTGGAACATTGTTCCTGGACAGTCTGTCTGGTCCCACATTCAGGTGACCAGGCACGTGCGCTGCTCTCAGTGAGAGCAGGTTGTGCTGAGCCCAGACCAGGAGGCGTTCCGTCAGCCTGTGAAGGTTTCGTGACCTGACGCCGCCCTGGCGATTTATGTATGCCACCACTGACATGTTGTCCG